AAAGGAATGAGGCTTGTGAGGAGGAGGAGGAGGAGGAGGAGGACGACGACGACGACGACGACGACTGTGGGTTCCTTGGTGCTCCCTGAGCTGGCTTGTTTCCTTGCGGACGTTTCATTACCCAACTAGTTAACATCATCAGTGTTAGTAAGGAATGGGGTTTGCTTTCAGTTGATATTCTAATGGCTTGGCCTGTCAGTGTTGGCGAAAGTGATCTTGGAGGTTGTTTGGTCGGGCTGTTTACTGTTGGCTTGTTTGGCAGTTCCTTGATTGGGGTGTTGTTTACTTGGTCTGATGAAGGAGCCGCCAAACAAGCCAACATCATTGGTCTGATGAAGGAACTTTGCGTTAAAAGAAAATTTTACATGAGATTAAAAAAAAACTCAGAAGCGTAAAAAGAAAAGTAGAGAAAAGAAGAAAAGAGAAAAGAGAAAGAGAAAAGAAAACGAGAGAGAGAGAGAGAGAAAGCTAGTTAACGAAGTGACTTTGCAACAATTTGCAAACATAGAAATTACTGGTTCATCCTCCCATATAACATATGATGGTTCCCTTCTTTTCATAAACAGACCCTTTTTAATCCATAAATCCCCAAATCATCCGTTCGCTTTTTATCCATTTTCAGCAAAAAGTCCAGAAAGGGATCCAGTCTTTCATGAAAGTCACTTGTTCCAATTGGTGCTTTGAAAACCTTCTCTTTGAGAACGTGAAAGAGCAGGCAGAATGGTTTGAAAGAGGGGGGAAAAAAACCAAGGGACTGAAACAGGAAAGCCCATTGATAGTGAGGAATCGGAACGTGCAGTCTGCTCCTTCTTCCTTTATTTTATCGCCTTGAATTTAAAACCAACAGGAGGCAAAGCCAGATTGAGATGTGAATTTCTCCGTTGCCAGGCCCTTACAGGAAGCATCTGTTTAGACGAAGCCTTTTCCAGCCTGTCTAAACTGCCTCTCCTTTCAGACAAAAGAGTCCCTGTTCTTTCAATCCCTTGCAAGCCAGTGAGCAATTTTCTTCGTTTATTCCATAATTAGCAAGAGTGACCCTTCCTATAAATCTTGGGTTGGTTTGTGAGTGGTGTGTTCAGCCAGACATATGGTTGCTTGGCAGAGCCCCGAGACCACCATCTCCCCAGTTGAGAATAGAATAGAATAAATAGAATAACAGAGTTGGAAGGGACCTTGGAGGGCTTCTAGTCCAACCCCCTGCTTAGGCAGGAAACCCTATACCATTTCAGACAAATGGCTGTCCAGTCTCTTCTTAAAAACTTCCAATGTTGGAGTACCCACAACTTCTGGAGGCAGGTTGTTCCACTGGTTAATTGTTCTCACTCTCAGGAAATTTCTCCTTAGTTCTAAGTTGCTTCTCTCCTTGATTAGTTTCCATCCGTTGCTTCTTGTCCTGCCTTCAGGTGCTTTGGAGAATAGTTTGACTCCTCTTCTTTGGGGCAGCCCCTGAGATATTGGAAGACTGCTATCATGTCCCCCCTAGTCCTTCTCTTCATTAAATGAGACATACCCTATTCCAGCAACCATTCTTCATATGTTTTGGCCTCCAGTCCCCTAATCATCTTTGTTGCTCTTCTCTGCACTCTTTCTAGAATCTCAACATCTTTTTTACATCGTGGCGACCAAAACTGGATGCCGTATTCCAAGTGTGGCCTTACTAAGGCATTGTAAAGTGGTATTAATACTTCACGTGATCTTGATTCTATCCCTCTGTTAATGCAGCCCAGCACTGTGTTGGCTTTTTTGGCAGCAGCAGCACACTGCTGGCTCATATTTAAATGACTGTCCACTAGGACTCCGAGATCCCTCTCACTACTGTGAGAACAGAAGGAACAGAATTGTTAGTTTTGGGGAACTCAGAGGTTCCCTGGAACTTTTAACACTTAGTTTAAAAAGCAAAAGGTCCAGGTCTAAAAGTCCTGGGAATCTTTTCTTGCTAGAAATGCCAAAGGGAGCAAGCTCTCCAGGGCTGAATCTAAGGGCAGGTCATTTGGCCCTATTGGGACCAGGGTAGGATGGGGATGGAGGGAATTCCACATTAGCATCGCACAGCTGACAGCTGCTTCCAAATTCTAGAACCAGGTGTCCCGTTCAGACAAGCCTGGTTCTGATTTTACTGATTTCAAAAGTGGACATTAGGAAGTTGTGCTGGACAGAAAATTTGTAAACATGGTTAGATCTCTCCCCTCTCCTTCCTCCCTCCCTCCCTTCCTCCTCTTCCTTCCCTTCCCTTCTCCTCCTCTCCTCTATAATAATAATAATAATAATAATAATAATAATAATAATAATAATAATAATAATAATAATAATAAAGTTGGAAGGGACCTTGGAGGTCATTGAGTCCAACCCCCTGCTCAAGCAGGAAACCCTATACCATTTCGGACAAATGGCTGTCCAGTCTCTTCTTAAAAACTTCCAGTGTTGGAGCATTCACCGCTTCTGGAGGCAGGTTGTTCCACTGGTTAATTGTTCTTTCCCGAGCTTAAACTGTTTCTTGCATAACTTTAGCTTCAGTTAAAAGACTGATGATCAGAGCCACGAAATCAGTCCTTTTGTTACGAAATGCAACCATGAAAGGGACAGCAATTCCAGATGGTTCCATTGGTGCATCACACATGTTGATTTAGAATTGGTTCCCAGTCGGTGATACACTCGTTCTTCCTCTGAGGCTCCGTTTGGACTTTAGATTCATTTCCCACACTTTCTGCCTCTCCTTTGCCTGGATCGTCTAGCAAAGGAGATGCTTTTAAAGCTGGATGGACAACCTTACTGCCCTGCATTTGTTTATTTATTGATTTATATAGCCCACCCCCAGAGAATATTTTCAGCCACACCACAGAAGCCTCTGCAAGAGTCAGTGCTGCCATTCTAATCTGCAAAAAGAAAAAGAAAAAGAAAAAAAAATGCTGCTGGAAATAATTGTTTTACCGCTGAATTTCAGCAGCCCAGTTCTAGAAGGTTCTGGGAGTTTCACAAATAGGGCCAGAAAGCTCGTGTGATTGGCAGATATCCTACCCTCCTCGTTCTGCTTTATTGCTAACTAAATCTTTTTTTTTTTTTACAAATTTTATTGAATATACATTTTAAAAACAAAAATGGACATACTTCAACTTCCCTGACTTCACCAGTGCTATTAGTATTAGCTTATGTTACAGAAAGAAAAACAGAAACTTAAAATGTATTCTTTAACAGGACAAAGTATAACAAACTGTGCGTGTAACATCTGTAAAATTTTTGCTAAACCATCTTTCAATCGTCAGCAATTATATTTACATATCTTTCAGTTGTGCCCTAATGTCAGTACTAATAAGAAGTCCTTATAATATCAACTAATCAATCGATAATCGCCTCAGCGATCCTCCTTATCTCTAACCAATCGTACAAATTTTTTCAAATTTCATAATACTCTGTTTCAGTTTTATTTTTCATCTCTAGAGTTAACCTGTCCATTTCAGCGCAGGATAAAATTTTATTTATTATTTCTTCTTCCTCAGTGGGGGTTTCCTTTCCTTTCCATTTTTGAGCGTATGCCAATCTTGCTGCGGTTAAAATATGCAATAGTAAGTACAAAGATGCTTTGCTGAGTTTGTCATTAATAATCCCTAATAAGAAGATTTCTGGTTTTAAATCAATTTTTTCTAATAGTATTTCTTCCAGCCAATTTTTTATCCGATTCCAAAAATTGTGTGCCTTTGAACATTCCCACCACACGTGATAATAAGTCCCTGGAAGCCTTCTACATTTTCAGCATGTTGGTGAGGTTTTTTTTATCTATTTTTGCTAATTGCTAACTAAATCTTAATGCAGGTAGCTCTTGACTTACAACCACTTGTTGAGCGACGATTTGAAGTTACAACGGCACTGAAAAAAGTGACTTAGGACCGTTTTTTCACACTTAACGATTATTGCCCCAAAGGTACTTTTTCAGGAGGCAGCTGTACTTCCTTTGTTTTTCTTTAACGGTTCCTTCTCATCCAAGAAGTTTCTTCAGCTCTGACCATGGGATGGTGGGGAATGGAAGGATTTATTCTCCTTGCAGACAGCTGGTCATTTGCTTTCTTTGAGAGAGTCATTGAAGCCACTTGGTGGCATCACCTGAAACAACAGTTTTGTTTTGTTTTGTTTTGTTTTTAAAAAAGTAGCATTTGCTTTGAGCCCTTTCTTAAAGAAGAAGATATTTTTTTAAAAAATATGGGGGATGAAAAACTGAAATTATTTTTGGAGGTTCTGAATAGCTCAGTTTCAAGAAAGGTGGTGAACAGTTTGCTGGGATATAAAAGTAAAAAGCAAGAGAATGGTTTCTCTGGAGGCTAAAACATAGGAAGAACAGTTGCAATTGGTTATGTCTGGTTTAATGAAAAGAAGGGCTAGGGGTGACATGATAGCAGTGTTCCAATATTTGAGGGGTTGCCACAAAGAAGAGGGGTGTGTGTGTCAATCTATTTTCCAAAGCACCCGAAGGCAGGACAAGAAGCAACGGATGGAAACTAATCAACGAGAGAACCAAACTAGAACTAAGGAGAAATTTCCTGACAAGTGAGAACAACTAATCAGTGGAACGCCTTACCTCTAGAAGTTGTGGGTGCTCCAACACCGGAGGTTTTAAAGAAGAGATTGGGCAAACATGTTTCTGAAATGGTATAGGGCAGGGGTAGGCAACCTTGGCTCTTGTATGACTCGTGGACTTCAACTCCCAGAATTCCTGGCTCAGGAATTCTGGGAGTTGAAGTCCACGAGTCATACAAGAGCCAAGGTTGCCTACCCCTGGTATAGGGTCTCCTGCTTGACCAGAGTTTTGGACTAGAAGGCCTCCAAGGTCCCTTCCAACTCTGTTGTTCTGTTCTGTTATCTTCAGAATTAAAAAAACAAAAACAAGCAAACTGAAAGAACCCAATTCCCCCCCCCCCCCAAAAAAAAAAATAACATTTGCCTACTACGGTTACTGACTGTGACTTAAGTTTCTCCTTCATTTGGTTTTTCTTCTGCCTTTTCTTTTGCAGACTGGCAAATCACCGCTCTGGTGTTAATCCTGACAGCTGCCACCATCACCCTGCTGTCCTTCCTCATGTCTCTGATAGCCTTCTGCCTGGGGAACTATAAATACTATTATCGGATAGTGTCGATTCTCCTCTTTGCAGCAGGTATGTCTCCCCCTTCCCTAGCCACCTGCTTGGGTAAATATTGTGCCCTGGCCAGTGGTTTTAACAGAACTTGTTTCTCCTATTGTTCCGTTGCTCCAGTGGTTCTCCAGATCTGCGCCTTAGTTCTCTACCCCATCAAGTTCATCGACAGTAGCCCGTTGAGAAGCTACCATGAGTTCAACTGGGGATACGGCTTGGGTTGGGGTTCAGCCATCTTTATGCTGGGAGCAGCTATCCTTTACTGCCTACGCAACGATGCATATGAAGATGCTTACTACTAGGACAACTTGAAGGAAGGTCACTGTGTTATCAGATCTGGAAGGCCTGGTCAGTAAACAGAGAGCAACGGAAGGGGAAGGACGATGGGATTCATGGGAATTCTCGGCACACTCAATCTTTACGGATGGACCTGTTGGCCAGCCTCTTACCACCAAGAGGAGAAGACGTTGAAGGCCTTCAGTTGGACACACTTCCATCATCACCAGGACCCATCACTGCCAGCCAACCACGCTTCTCTCCGGCACAACCTGCTTAAGATCTTTCGTGTATTTTTTTTCTTTTTTAAAAAAAATATATTATTTTTTCCTTATTTTTATCTTCTGTGTATGAAAGGTCGTTCTTATTTTATTTATGAGAGGGCAGTTCCTACGGTGAAGAACAGCTTGGCTTAGCTTTTATTGAGTGAGATCTTGAACACAAAGAAGGGGAGTTGTCTGAATTGAAAGGGTTCTGTAAACGCACTGATGGATGCTAAATCCATTTGATACCAAGAAGCCCGAAACACAGAAAATATAAGAGTTTATGGACTGCTAATGAAATAAAACCATGGAAGAAACGAGATGGGTATCTTGCATACTTCTGTGTAATATGTGTGTGTATGCAATATTATATATATATTGCATCTCTCTATCTCTACCTCTACCTATCTATCCACCCACCCCATCATCTATCTATCTATCTACTTATCATCTATCTATCTATCTATCTATCTATCTATCTATCTATCTATCTATCTATCTATCTATCTATCTATCTATCTATCTATCATCCATCCATCTCCTCATCCTCTGTCTGTCTGTCTGTCTGTCTGTCTGTCTGTCTGTCTGTCTGTCTATCTATCTATCTATCTATCTATCTATCTATCTATCTATCTATCTATCTATCTATCTTAGTGTATAGTAATACACACACACACACAAGACTTTGGAGCAGGTCAAATCAGGAATCTCTACTTCAATGGTTCTTAAACTATGGGTAATTATCCCACAGAGGTAATTAGGGCATATTTTGGTGGTAATGGAGCAATTAAGGTGGGGTCCTTGGGTGTTTTCATGCAGACATTTCATTACCCAACCAGGTAACATCATCTGTGGTTGTTTTTCTACAGACCTTTCATTGCCCAACTAAGTAACATCATCCATGTATTGCACTGGGATCATGAAATGTATTGCACTTACGCAATTGGATCATGAAATTCCTGGAAGAAAACCACCAGGTTCAAAGAACACCAAGGATTCCGTAGCCTACACGTATTCTCGTCTGTTCGGGTGCACTTTATAATTGCTTGTTTCAGAGCCCTGCATCTAGTTTGGGACTGCCACTGACGATGCCTGTTGTGGGATTTTGTAGAGCAGCGGTTCTCAACCTGTGGGTCGCGACCCCATTTGGGGTCGATCGACCATTTCACGGGGGTCGCCAAGCAAGGCTGTCCGCCATTTTTTCCCCCTTTTCCGGCGGGTGCCTTACCTCCCTTGGGCTGGGCCAGCTGGTGGTCGGCCTGCTCCGTCTCTGCCGCTTGCCAGCTACGCCTCGGCCGGCGCAGGGGGCGGAACCACGCATGCACGGCGNGACCGGTTTAGTCCTCGACTTATGACCGGTTGGGGGTCGCGGCATTAAAAAGGTTGAAAACCACTGTTGCAGAGGTAATTAATTAAGTGGACCTTTGGGTCAAACAGCTTAAGAACCTCGCTTTCACTGTGCTGAGAAAACGGGGTAAATCTCTCTCTGTGTGTGTCTCACTGGGCAGCACTGTCAAACTGAGAATCCTGTCCATTTTCTTTCCTCTCCATGTTTCTGGCTGCAAATGTGCAACAATCACACCACACACACCGACACACCGACACACCATCATTCAGCTGGTAAAACAATGAACCACTCCGAACGCAGCAGCCCAGGGCCTTTTTCAAACATCTCTTTGTACATATCCATGCGTGTGTTTGTACTCCTTTGTGTGTGTGCGAGTCTTTGCAACGCGCTGACAAAAGAACGAACGTGTGGTGGTGTTTATATCCCATCCTCTCTACTGTTCTCCTCCGAGAGCAAGCTACTGACCCAAGAACATTGTAGGAGCCCCTGTGCCGGTTTCTGTTTGGGCTGTCATGTGCAGTGGTGCTAATCAGCAGACACTTTGGGACTCACAACTAGGTTGACACTAAGCAGATTGAGCAACTGGAGGCTAAAACATATGGAGAACGGTTACAGGAACTGGGCATGGCTAGTCTAGTGAAGAGAAGGACCAGGGGAGACATGATAGTAGCGTTCTAATATTTGAGGGGCTGTCACAGAGAGGAGGGGGTCAACCTATTTTCCAAAGCGTCTGAAGGCCAGACAAGGAATAACGGATGGAAAATGATCAGGGAGAGCTTCAACCTGGAAATAAGGAGAAATGTTCTGACAGTGGGAACCATCAACCAATGGAACAGCTTACCCTCAGAAGTTGTTGGTGCTTCATCACTGGAGGCTTTCGAGAAGAGACTGGACTGCCATCTGTCAGAAATGGTGTAGGGACTCCTGCTTGGGCAGGGGGTTGACCTAGATGACCTACAGGGTCCCTTCCAACTCTGTTATTCTATACAATCTCAGCAGGGTTGATTTGATCTATTTTGTTACGATAGAAGACAATTTGTGTCTAAAGCTGGGAACTCCGATCCATCCATCTCAAGTCTACTTTTGATTAATTGATTTGTATCCCACCTTTATTACTTTTTACAAATAACTCATAGTGGGGAACATATCCTTCCTCTTCCTATTTTCCCCATAACAACAACAACTCTGTGAGGGTGGGGGCTGGGCTGAGAAAGAGAGGGACTGGCCCAAATTCACCCAACTGACTTTCATGGCTCAGGTGGGACTAGAACTCACCGTCTCCAGCTTTCTACTGTGTGCCTTAACCACTAGACCAATGTTGTTGTTACTTGCAAAGTTGCATCTAACCCATCGCGACCCCATGGACAACGTTCCTCCAGGCCTTCCTGTCCTCTACCATCTTCTGGAGTCCATTGAAGCTCACACCTACTGCTTCAGTGACTCCATCCAGCCACCTCCTTTTCTGTCGTCCCCTTCTTCTCTTGCCCTCCATCTTTCCCAGCATTAGGCTCTTCTCCAGTGAGTCTTTCCTTCTCATTAGGTGGCCAAAGTACTTGAGTTTCAACTTCAGGATCTGGCCTTCTAAAGAGCAGTCAGGGTTGATCTCCTCTAGGACTGACCAGTTTGATCGCCTTGCAGTCCAGGGGACTCGCAGGAGTCTTATCCAGCACCATAGTTCAAAGGCCTCCATTCTTTGGCGCTCAGCCTTTCTTAGGGTCCAACTTTCTCAGCCATACAGTGCAACTGGGAAAACCATACTTTTGTTGGCAGAGTGACGTCTCTGAACTGCCTCTATAAAACACCTTACTGTAATTCTGTTGCTGCAGACAGGAGGCTTCCTGACCATTGCACCAGGATTCTGTAACAAAGGATGTGATTCTACCAAAGGAATGACTGATGGTAAAATTCTTTGCCTAAAAAAGTCCTCTTAAGAAAAACACACCGCCTTGCATCTCTATATTTATGAATATAGATGACGCAGCTCTGAGGAATGCAAGATTTGAATATTCTCATTGAATCAATGCCCGGGTAATGATAGTGGTGGGTGAGCTGGCAGCTTCTGAAGAACTGTTTGTTCTGATGTACAAATATTTACTTTTATCTGATCCACTCAGGGAAATAAAAAAAAGAAGAAGGTGGATCTTTAGAAATCAAATTCAGCTTTTCTTTCCTGGCCTAATTGAGCTGGGAAACTTGTTTGGAAAATGAAGGACACTGCCTTAACAAGCTTCTTAAACTCCTTGTGGGATATAAATTAACAACTTGATTGAAGGGATAATACTTTTTTTAAAATTTCCCTTATTTTTCCATATTGGAATCTTCTGGTGTGATTTTAATCAAATTCAAGGCTTTGAAGTTTTAGATCTAGCCAAATCAAAAGCGTCCACCCAACCACGTTCCAGAACGTGCCTTTCATGTTTGTTTTCAGAAGAATTGCAAAGGATTGCTTTAATTATTAGAAATTGGTGCACCAAAGATAGAAGGGAGAGCAGGATTAAAAATAACAATAATCTAGATCAGTGGTGGCGAACCTATGGC